CGGGTCTACGGACACCCCTGCAGCCTCGGCGGGGGGAGCTGCTCCCAACCTACCTGAGGTCCCGCTGCCGCAGGAGCTCCATCCCGCAGGACAGGGAGGTCAGCTCGCGCAGCGGGATGGCATCCACCAGCCTGCAGATCTCGCCCATGACGCCGTAGAGCTGCTCCTCCGACGGCAAGCCTGCTGCATCTGTTGGATGGAGGGATTCTAGCACGCAGCAGCACTCGTTTTTTATGAGAATATGTAAAATGTTACCCCCCAACAGACAGTCAGTTGCAATAAGTCTAAATAATTTACTGTCAATTTATTTTTTAATGTATATTTGCATAACGAACTGTTTCTGTGTGCACAGACTCATGTAGTGTACCTTTTTTCGCCCTTGCCTTTCAATTAGCCATCTATCTCCACTTTCCAAACCTCACCATAGTTCTTTCAAACTTATTCCAAAACACATTCAAGTCTACGTGTTTTGCTTGTTCCTAATTCCTCCTCCCCAAACACACTAAATCACATTTTATCAAAATATTACGTCGCAATTTGAGTCTGGAAAGTACCGTAGAAAGCCTCCCACACGTGAAAGTCAGCATTTGCCACCTCGCAACCTTTCCTTTCAAACCTGGTCCCACTGCAAACTCTCCAGCTTTATGCCAATCGACTGCCCCGGACCTCAAAGTGCCACCACCAGGGGTGTGTGTTACAAACTATCCCCAAAAATCCGGTGCATAAAATCTCAGACCACTTGGAGTACCTGTAGCCTCTGCACCGGGATCACTTTCAGCGCCAGGCTGCCTCAGGGCAACCTGCTCGGGCTTGGGCTCGACGCTGCCGGCTGTGGATCTTCCACCAGTAGGCGATTCTTTGAAGACATTGCTAACATCAGGAGAAAAAAAAACTATAATCAAGATACAGGTATCTGTAAATCAAGGCATTTCCATATGAGAAATCTGTCTTCTAGAAATAACAGCGCCTGAGATGTGTGTGAAACAAACAGATTTCTGGAAAGCCACTTAAACCCCGAGTTGCTGAGCAGTTTGTCACTCGTCCTACGTGACAAGGTGCAGGGACTTGCTTCAGTCATTTTTGTTCCCCCTCCCAGCACAAAAGGAAAAATAACTCCACTTTTTCTCAAGCAAAAGCCACCTGAAACATTGGCCATAGAAAAAAAAAGTATTTCACAAACCATTAACTGCAGCTGCCAGCCACAGCCAGACACCATCAGCTCAGTCTGTAACTTAACAGCACTAGTTTCATTTCTTGTTTGCTACTTTTAAAGTCACCCTAAAGACAGCCAGCTTCACCAGCGACCATTGTTCTACCTAAAGCTTTTTACAGAAGGTGAGAAGGAAGGCAGCTCTTCCTCAGGGGAGGGGGGAATAACATCTAAGTAATCATCCTCTTCAAGCTCAGCACCCGCAAATGCCTCGATGTCGGCCTCGTCCAGCGCCGGGGGGCTGCTCTGCCCGGCTCCAGGGGGCTTCTGGCTCTCACCACCTCTCTTGTTAGCAGCTGAAAGAGAAGCGTGTTAGTGTTGCTGGGTAACACCGTAAACTTATTCCAATATAAACAAAACCATAACTGAACAGAGGGGAAAAAAAAAAAAAAGAAAACTAGCTAGATTTCAAAAGATTCCTTCATAGTACTTTTAAAGGACAAAAAAATTAATATTATTACTACTCCCTTTTTGTCCCCATCAAAACCAAACAGACAAAACCCTCACAAACTCTAATTCTAAGTAGAAAAGTTACATAGCTTGCCTCTAGTTACCTTTCCCTGTCAGAAGAGAAAAACCAAAGAGGTGTATTCTCCTACAACAGACTTTACGGAAAACTATTGTCACACTAAATACTAGCTTAAAGAGTGGGGACTCATCAACCAGCATAGTCCCTATGCGGAAACTAGAAAGTAAATTTACATGTACAGTGCCTTATAAGACAAATCCTATTAAAAAAGGCCATTACCATCAATAATTAAAATTCATTTCACAGAAAGCAGAGAGAACATATAAAAATATTGTTAAGATTTAGCATCATGCCATTTAGTGCAAGGGGAGCATCACAGAACACTTTGATTTTAGTCACTTGCATAAAGACGCTGATTTCACAGAAAAAGATCAAAAGTTTCAAAATGTAACAGAGAAGCCGCCTGGAGCACAGAGCTGCCAAGGAAGCACTCTGACATGGTCATGAACTCGGTCATAATGGAGAGTTGCAGGGTTTTGTTTGTTTGTTTTCAATCCATCGTTACATTTAGAGACAAGGTGATTTTATGTCCCTAAATTACATATGAATTATGCAAATTACACATAAGTTATTTTAAAACTTGTATTTCTGTAACAACCCTATAGATTACTGCTCCTCATTTGTGCAATGCCATTTGGGAAGTCTTGCAACTCTGATACCTCCACACGACCAGCTGCTACCTCCGCGCAAAGGCAACGCTCCCCTATTTACAACCCTGCACTTCTGCAGGCTCTGGTTACCCAAATGGGACTGCTTGCCAGACACCAGCCTTCAACTCCCTCTATTTCTGAAGAAAACAAGCCCTCTAAGTGCAAACACAAAGGTATTTTCTTCTAGCTTGCTGCTGCTTCGAAACAGATCGTTACCTGCGTGAGCCTCTTC